CAGTGTCTTCTCTTGCCCATCCCCAATGTGAAGTTCACAATGGCAGAGACTTTTATTGTTTTTTAACTATTTCCCCCAGTACCTGGCCCGGGGCAGGTACTCAGTATTTGTGAAGTTAATAAATAGCCCCTAGGCTTGATGTGAGCACAATATTCTAAACACCCATTTCTTTAGACTCATGTTCCTATTCTGCTCATTTCTCCCCAAAATTGTACATGTTACTTTAAACTCCCCCATTTTATACCTTACTTCCTGTTTTTTCCCAATTTAAGTTTCGTTTTCCTCCCTGAGTTGAGTTCCTCCCAGAAATGACCGCAACATCTGATAAGGAACTTCTGCAGGACTAAGACCTTATAAGGCAATGTGGCCTGCAATAGGTTAAAAAACAGCTTATTCCCCCTAATTGCAAAACTCCCACCCAAGACCCTGTAAATGAGCCAACACTCCTTCCCTTGCCGCCGCCTCCCCTTCTTTGCCTCCAGGCCTTTGTGCCTCGCCTGATCCCCTTCAATAAAGATTTCCTGCCGGACCTCTCGGTGTGTGAGTGACCTGATTGGGAGGGGGCACCCAAAGGGGCACAGGCGCGACCCCTTTCAGTTAGAGCATTGTCTCCTAGGCCCTTTGTCATTTAACATGGGCTTGTAATTCAGGCCTTACACTACATAGTGAATTCAAGGCTAATTTGAGCTATCTAGTGAGAGCTTGTCTCAAAAAAGAGAAGTGTCTGATGAAGGTCACATTCCAAACATCTATAATCAAATATCCAAGTTGCATCCGAGCAGGGTCAGAATTGACAGCACTCTCATGAGATAGACCTCAAACCCAAATACAGAAAGGAGACTAAGAGTGTCTTTTTGTGTTGTGTTCAATTTAACATGCTTTTAAGGTTCATCCCAACATGATATTATTTGTAGATATAGTCCAAAAATAGGCAATATGTGCAAAATAAAGACAGAATGAATGGGTCTTAATTCTACAGGGCTGGTGTCCTTTTAAAAATAGAGAAGAGGACTGGGGATTTAGCTCAGTGGTGCCACTGCCTTCCTCAAAAGTTCAAGGTCGTGAGTTCCATCCCCCGT